TATATATATATATATATATGATTTTATATTTTAATATACAAAAATACTATTATTGTATTCTATTCATTCTATTGTATTCTATTCTGTTCTACTCTATTCTATTCTGTTTGGTCAATAGATGGCTTCGTAAAAATATAAGTCAACATATACTGCCATCTACTGTACATAAGAAAGACTACAAAATTAAAACAAGGAAGTATGTTACAGTACATCCATATTTCACTAGTATACAATACCAACCACAAACATTTACCCAGTGGGTTTGTTTGTTTATTTATTTTTGACAACTTTATTTACCTTCTCATGGTAGGGTCCCAGAACAATCCATCCACAGAAGGTGTAGCCGAGGTAGATCATTCCTGCGCAGCAGCAGAAGCGTAAGACTTTTGGTAAGGCTGCTCGCATAGTGAGGATAAGCACCTGTGTTGTCATAACAATATTTTAGGGCCCTAATAAATGATTAGTCTTTCAAGCAATCAATACTGTTATATGACTAGTGGTCAATAAAACACATGTGCGCCCCCTTGCTATACAGTTACTTTCATGTTCTTAATGTGATTTTGCGAATTTTGACTTACATTGTATTTTTCGAAGTATCCCAGATACCTTATGACGCCCACCCAGACCATTAGAGTTGATGTTCCCAGGAAGATGCTGCAGACATCATAGTTAGTCATGCTCTGTGAGGAGAAAGGAACTTTATTAGTGTTTTGAATGTAGGCCATACTTGTTCTTCCATGCGAGTGCAAAGTAAACATTACATAAACCTGTTTAATTGCCCTGCCTTAAATCACCCTACAGCACAGGCCCAGAGTCGAAAGACTACTACAAAGTCTAAAGAGAGTTGCATAATGCCATGAAAAACTGCAGAATCTGTGCAGCTGTTTAAAAGAACATGAACTTTAGAAACTAAAATCAAATCATTTGAGTACATTTTACTCCACATTTATATTAGCTTTCAAAAATAATTAAAAGAAACAAAAGCACTAATAATCAATACATGACAATAAACTATTTAATTTTATAATTTCTATGTTTCCAACTAACTTTATAAAATGGTTTTCATGAAAATTAAGTACATTTTCCCGCCAAATTTAGATTACCTTACCAAAAAAATCATTTAAATAAACAAAACAAAAACACCAACATAATAAATAAAAATACATAAAAAAATTTTTTTATTACATTTATAAAGTGTATTTCCAACTAACTTTAGAAACTCAACACAATTAAGCACATCCTCCCTCCAAATTTAGATTACCTTATCAAAAAAAGCTAAATGAACAAAATAAAAACACATATAATAAATAAATAAATACATACATAACAACAAAAATATTTAAAATGTAGTGTTTGTTTCCAACTATCTTTAGAATGTCAAATCCGATTATTTTAATGAAACTTAATCACATTTTCCCTCTAATTAAGTGCATTCGATTACCTTACCAAAAATAAGGACAAATTCACAAATGAATGAATTAAGCTAATTAAAAATGCTAATATTTTTTTCCAAAATATAAAATGATATCAGTTAAAATTAAGCACAATTTCTCTCAAAAAATATAAATGACCAAAAATATAAATGAATGAATAATATTTTTCTAATACTAATATTTCACATTCAAACTCAATTGACTTTTCATGAAAATTAAGTATATTTTCCCTCCACAATTACGTCACAATAAATAATTTTAAACAATAAACAAAATGTATATAGATATAAAAATAGTAATAAAGTGTTTAATAGAAGCTATTAATACAATATGTTGAATTAAATCAAATATGTATATATAATGAGAATCACCATTATATTGGGAAGTAAAAAATATATATATTTCAATTTGTTTGTTTTTTTAATTTAGGGAACTACAATTTCCTCAGCAATTTTTCAGATTGTGTGAATATCTAATGCATCGGCAAACATGTTTTCATAAAAAGGAAGCACCTTAGCCTGTATTTCCATTTTTAGTATTGATCCAATGATGGACAAAACATCACTGATGATCACTAAGATGTACCAGCCATTCAAGAACTCCCTCTGATCATCTTCACACACTTTCTGATTATAATTCTCAAGACAGAAGCTAGAAAACCGCTGCAGAGAGAGGAAGTGACACATGAAGGAAACACAGACAGACCACAAAATAAGTCATTTCACACTGAGTCACTATGACAGAACATCAAAACTAACTGATGTAGATTTTTTAAATGTTAACGTATCTGTGATATTGACAGAATTGAATGCAGGTTTACCTGAAGTAACCTCACAGCGAGAATAATAGAACGTGTGCAGAGCACTGCAGAGATCAGACACACTACAATAACAAAGCCATCAAAGATCAGCAGGTAGTGAGTGCTCTTCTGAGCTGAAAAAGACAATAACGAAGCATCTAAATTTCACATGCCTTCGTCATAACATTAAAAACCATAGGCATTCATTGCAGTTGATGATTTTTCACATACCAGTTCCTGAAATCTTCCAGTTTTTGCACGCACTACTAACAGTGTCAAAATCAAGGGTCGATTTCACCTTCCCGCTATGACAGCTGTTATCAAAGAGAATCTGCAAAAAATCAAAATGGATTTATTCAGTAATACAAGCGAAAATGGATTTTTATCCCCAAAAATGGACCTTACCTTTACAAAAAAGGTGTAACAGTCTGGCAGCTCATGAGAACGAACGGTTTGCAAATTGATTCCTTTGAGCGCAAAAGTGATCTCAATATCGACAAGCCTGTACTTCAAACAAAACATTGACACCATTAGTATTGATTGAATGTTTTGGTTATATAGTTTAGGTTTACAAACCTATAAAAATCCAGCTCAAAAAATGAAGCGTTGTCCATTCTCCATGTTTTAGTGGACTCCGGATCAAGAGTCAAGCAAACTGGAAAGACAAAAACAGTTCAGTTTAGGCAATACGATATGATTAATATTAGATATCCACATTTTCTGGAAAACATGTAACCTGTTTCAAGCTCGGCATCAATATTGTAAGCTTCCTCATACGGTTCAATGCTGCCTTTCTTGTAGCTCTTCTTACAGATGATCAAGGGCAGAAACTTTTCATTCTCTTCAGCGTAACTAACAGGGCCTACAGACAGGTTTCCTAATTGGGAATACTGTTGAACAGATATATAAATATTATATTAACCAAGTTTTAACGTTTTATTTCCTCACATAAAGAAAAGAGTAGCACTTTTGATAAATATGTTCATAATTGTGCCCACTCAAATGGAGAGGGCACCATCATGGGGGCAGATGTTTTGAAATCACATGACCAGCTAATTATTAGTTGCTTTATTAGAATAATCTTCCTATTAACAGGCATTTTCTCTCACACAACAAGACTTTGCAAAGCCGACTGAAACCTTTTGCTTTCAGGTAATGCTTCATCCACACCACTAGGTGTCAGTACATGACCAACAAAATTGCCTGTAACATACGTAATGCTAATAAAGTAACGGAGGAGGAAAAAGTTGTGGAGAACAAAAAAGCAAGATTAATTAAAAACAATACAAACCTGATCTATAACATAGTGTAAACTATCATATACACTCTGTTTGGTATAGACAGCAATACTGTAGTCATCCTCATCCACACCACTGTAGCCCTTCAGAAACAAACTCTTAAAGGCCATGAGGTTCTCCTCCTTGTAGGACACCACAAGCTGATTATTCAGCCCAAACAGTATGAGCTTTGGAAAAAAACAACAACAACAACATGTTTTCAGTCTGGCTGGTGGAACATTACGGCTTTATGTGTACTGTAGCTTTAAGAAGATTAAATTATGATCACATAATGACAAATCTTTCAAGAATTCAGAAAAGGTTTACATATAAAGCCGAATTGTGTAATTTCTGCCCCACTAGTCACCAAATAAAACGTCAATAATAGTAACTGTGTTCAAACAGGTTTCCTGGCCACACCCCCAGCCTTCCATTGGTCAAACAAACCCCCGAAAAATTGAGTGGCTGAGGCACTGTTGCTGTGCTAAGCTTGTTGGGATTCTCAAACAAACAGAAAAATGTTTTGATAACACCACAGAGACACTTTTTTTAGCAGGAAATCACACTTACTTGTAGAAGTCTTTGCATATTAAGCTGGGCTACAAAAGTATTTAAAAAAAAACACACAGTTGCATACTGAAACTTTAAGCAAACAGATAACCCAATAAATACCTGAAGTGTAATCATGAATATTTTCAAAATTTGCACTGCTAATTTCCATGGTAACTGTCGCCGGGTTCTGTACTTCTCACAAGGGCTCATGAAGTAAAACCTCAAGTCATCTCTCAGTATTTCCTCTGCCATGGGATCAGTGGCCATGGATGTGGAGACACTGTATCAAAATATACAATACATGATTCGGATTGAATTTTAAATTCTTTAGAAATTCATTTTAAAAATATGAAATAAATGGTTAGTAGGTTAAGGAAAAAGCAATCAACATGTGCCCACTGCCCAGCATTGATGTTTTATTTCATACTTTTAATTACTTCAATAATATTCTAAAATGTGAAAAAAATGAGAAAAATAAAAATGATGTTTTCTAAACACTATTATTATTATTACTTCTTAATAATAAGTCAACTATTATTGTTGTTGCTGTTCTTTGTTGTTGTTATATATAATTTAATAAACATTGACTCTCCAATAATAACAATAAAAAAAGCATCAAATATTATTAATGATAACAAAATGTTGTGTATTATTTAATAAATACTGAATCTTCAATAATTACATGTATGTATTTAGCAGGGGAGGAACAATAATAAAAACAACAACAATAATAACAACACAGACGTTATTTTTATATACAAGTTAAATTACAGTATATAGACTTCTTATTGAGATGCGTGTATACTATTGACCAAACTTGGTCTTGCATATTCTCATGAATACAGTCCGATAAGCATGATTTGTGATACGCTACAAAAATCAAGTTCAGCACAAACAGATGATAAATCAACTTAAGAGTGACACATTATCAATGTGACAGAGTTCTGTTTAGGATGAGGAAGATGGAAGGGGTCAATGAACAAAAAAGGAAAGGGAGGGAAAATTAGTTGCTCAATAAGCGTTTCTTAAACTTTAACTGGGCCTTTATGAATAATTGCAAAAACGTTGCAGTCTACATGTCTCTTAAAAACACTACCAAAGGTACAAGTCCAAGGCTGCTGTCTGCTCAACAGGACTGACCGTGTAGTTACTGACAAACTGTACTGGGTTTATTTAATTCATGAGGAAAACACAAGCAAGTTTACAAGTTTTAAATAACCTCTTTGCAGAGTCAGAATATTTCAATTCTGTTGTGTATTTTATTAGCCCTAAATTAAATTAACGCTACTTGTGAATTTCTAACTGTTTATTTGTCATGCAAAATAATTTGACAAAGAATTAAGCAAAACCTTGTCCAACTTACCTTGACACGTCAACACTGGTGCCCTGGCAGTACCTAGCAGGCATTTCCATGCCACCTGTTCTCCAAGACAAAACACGTTTCCAGCCACAAGCTCTCCTTGATCGCTAAATTAATAACCTCGTGTGTGACGTCACAGGTGGAGCACCCAACAGCGCCCATCGACCAATCAGGAGCGAGGAGGATTCCCGATGGGCGTGACCTAACTGTGAAACGAAATAGAAAGCTCTTTCAGTTGCTCACTGACTTGTGTGAAACATCACAGAGTCGATTGAGGAACTACACATTCTCAATATAAACACAAACAGACCACACGCTATTTTAATACAGCAAGTATGCTTTTAATGAGTGAAGTGAATATAGTAAGGTAAAGTAGGCCTATGTCCTTTCTAGCAATGCTTCCAAGCTGAAGCATTATTTCTTAAAGGGGTCATATGATGCTTTTTTAAAGATCATTATTTGGTGTATTTGGTGTAACAGAATATGTTGACATGCTTTAATTATTTTTCAAATACTTGTAGGTCCTCTATGCCTCGCCTCTCTCAAACGCTTAGTTTTCTACAAAGTCCCTCCTTCCGACAAGCGCAGTCTGCTCTGATTGGCCAGCTGACACAGTACATTGTGATAGCACTCGTCGGAAATGTAACGCCTCTTACCATAATCGCGAGCTTCATCTTTCAAAATAAATGTAAAGACAGTAAATAATGTCATTAGTTTTACCATCAGTTCAAGCCCGAAAGAGGAACAGAGTCGCATGACAGACACAGTGATGAAGCTGGTGTGTGTTTGTAGTACACAAGCCACTGTTAAGACAGCTGACTCCACTGTGATCTCTCTCTCACTCTCTGTCACACACACGCACACACACACACACACACACGATGCGCAAAACTCCGCATTTGAACAGTCAATAGCAAATACTTAAACTAATAACAAAACAGTAGCTGATTCAGAAACGCCAGATTGTCATAGCAAAGTCAGAATTACCTCCTCTCCTAGGTTCACGAAACGGTCGTCCATAAAATGCATTGCTGTTCTGTTGTAAGTAATCTTAAAGATTCCTAAATGCATCTACTTTCGGAAGGCCAAATAAAG